CCCTAATTATTATTTTTCTTGCTTTGTATTTTTAGTATTATTATTATTATTATTATTATTATTATTATTATTATTATTATTATTATTATTATTAAAATAGTGATGTATTTCGTATTTTCGCTGATTGAACAAATATTTTTCAATATAGAAGAAAAAGAAAATAACTCACGTCATCGAATCGAAAATATCGTTTTTTTCTCTGTCTCTCTCTCTCTCTCTCTCTCCCCCTCGGCATTATATTTTCACTCCTCACGAGAATTCCACAAGGTTTTTAGAAACTGGAACATGCAAAAAAATTTTGAAAAATTATTGTTTAGTCCTTTTTTTATGTTATGTGATTTGTTTTAAAGCCAAAGCGCACGATTTTCTTATATTTATAGATATTTTTGTCAGAAAAATCTTTTTCAAGTTTTTTTTTTCTGTTGAAATCTTTATAAAGTGTAATTTTTTATTTCGCGACACAACAGGGTCTTAAAAAAAAATAAAAAAAAATTGAAATGATATATAATATAAGTAATATGGAAAAACATATTGTCTAAACTATGCTTAGTATGCATCAAAATTATGAAACAGTGCAGAAAAATACACTTTTCTGCATAGAGTGCAACAAAATTATAGAACAGTGCAAAAAAGTGCACTTTTCTGCATAGCATGCAACAAATTTATAAAACAGTGCAGAAAAGTACAATTTTCTACATAGGATGCAGCAAAATTTATAAAAAAAAAACCCAATGCAAAAAAGTACACTTTTCTGCATTGTATGTAGAAAATTTTTAAAACAGTGCAAAAAAGTACATTTTTCTGCATTGTATGTAGAAAATTGATAAAACAGTGCAGAAAAGTACAATTTCCTACATTGCATGTAGCAACATTTATAAAAAAAACAAAATGCAAAAAAGTACACTTTTCTTCATTGTATGTAGAAAATTTATAAAACAGTGCAAAAAAGTACACTTTTCTGCATTGTATGTAGAAAATTTATAAAACAGTGCAAAAAAGTACACTTTTCTGCATTGTATGTAGAAAATTTATAAAATAGTGCAAAAAAATACACTTTTCTGCATTGTATGTAAAAAATTTATAAAACAGTGCAAAAAAGTACACTTTTCTGCATAGCGTGCAACAAAATTATGAAACGGTTCAAAAAAGTACACTTTTCTGCATTGTATGCAGAAAATTTATAAAACGGTTCAAAAAAGTACACTTTTCTGCATTGTATGCAGAAAATTTATAAAACAGTGCCCCCAAAAAAATCACTTTATTATTAATCAAAATAAAGAGAGAAAAAAATTTCAACATCGTATAGATATACAAAAAAAAAAAAAAATTACAGTGTGTATTCGCGCTTTTTTCCCGCGTAAAAAAAAGAATGTTAAAATAATCCCATCGGAAAAGTGGTTGCGGAGAATTTCAGAATGTTATTTTGCTAATTAAACTGAATTTTTTGTTTATTAATAGAGTGAGAGATATGAACTCAAATCGTTGCGGAATATACATATATTACATTGAAATGTACTTTAGGATTTTCATTTTACATATGCATATATGTAATATATAGGAAAATAGTGCGAAGAGAAATGTATTAATGATCCAAGTGAGATTGTTGCTTATTCGAAACATATATATATATATATATATATATATAATAAACAGTATCGTTAGTGGGGGAGTTGAAAATATGGTATAGAAATGCGGGATGTTTCAACCACCCTGAATAGAGTTAAACAACTCCCTTAAGCAAGATATCGCGCTTCGCGTAATGCCGTTTGGTTATACGCGATATATATACAGAGAGTGAACGTGAAGCAGAACAAGTTTGAATAGAGCCCGCATTCCACATCGAATACCCGAGAAACTCATTAGGGAGTTGCCCTGACTAACGTTGACTCCAAGTATATATTCCAACTGTTAACCAGCCACTGTACTGCTCTATTTATTTAGTATCCACTTCATTTCCAAAAAAAAAAAAAAATAATATAGCCCAATTTTCATTTGACCGAAAATGGCCGAACAAACATAACCTTTGGCGCCAATTTCAAAAATTCGACCAATCACAACTTTCTCATTTCCGATTAATCGAATTTTTTTAAATTACCACCAAATTGTTTCCACAGTTCTGCCGTCCAAAGTAAAAAGATTCAGACGGCAGAGATTATGTTTGTTCGGACATTTTGCAATTTCGGTCAAATGAAAATTCTCTGCATTAAGAATTATATTCATGGGAATAAAAATTCATTATTAGCAAGTAATGAACTATAAAAATTCTACTAATTAAAATTTAGAGAGTAATATTGATACTATTCGAGAGAAAGAGAGAGAGGGAGAGAGAAACGGCGAAAAATATCCTGGCAATCTGGTTAGTTAAAGCCATTATGGAAATGAAGAAGACGAAATAATTGAGTTAAATTTTGTAGGATAATTTGATCTCAAGAGAAGAAGGGGGGGAAGGGGTTTTAGCGACGAATTCTCTGGTCATCTCATAATGAGATCACGACCTGGTTGTCTCTGTATAATTCTCTCGCTCTAGATTTATCTCTATCTCTCTCTAGTAACATTGTATAGAAACAACCAATTCTACCGCGTTTGCACGTTTCTAAGCTTGCATGAGAATTGCAAACAACAGCTGGCACCCAAGGTCCATTAATTTTCCTCCCCAGCATCCCAATCATCTCGCAAAATATTAAACATTGAGATGAAACTGCATATAATGTTTCTAACGATTATTATTATCGAACACAATTTTTTTTTTTTTTGTTGAATAAATAGTTTTGACAATATAAACATTTTTTTCATAAAATGTCAGTTACTGAAGCTCAAAGTAGAAAAAAAATGCCACTTTGAGCTGAAGTTTTAGGGTGATTTTCATTTCCTAATATATAAATCACTTTCTGGAACTTGCAGTCATTAAACTCGATAATTTAAAGTTTCGCGTGCACGTCGCACACTTAGCAGTTTTGCGCTCCATATTCAAGTTTCCACTATGGCAAGCAATTTTCCCTTAGTAGTTTGAATCATGACTCTTGGATTTATCGATACCATGATACTTTTTTTTTTAAAAAAAAAAACTTTGTTTAAAAAATTTACCTCGTTAGAATCGTAAATTTTTCATTTGGATTATTAATATAGAATTTCTATTTTTTTTTTTTTTTTAATTCAATTATTTGAAAAATTCAATTTTATAAAACAATTGGAAGAAATAAATTAATCGTTATTAGAAAGAAAATAGAAAATTATAAATGCTGTAAAAGGATAAAACAGACGGGAAATTTCGAGCTTTGTAGTTTTCAATATATAGAAATAATCGTTATAATAGTCATTCAAACCGAGTGGATGATGGCCATTCGAAATCAATGGAAAACAATTTGATTAAGGGATGTCACAACCACTGCATAGCATCGATCGTTATTTTAATTGCTTGTTGCTTTTGAAATGTCCGCAATATAATGTACTTTGAGAGAAAATAATCGCAAAGCCATTCTAATTAAATATCAAAATCTAATTTGAATATTTTCTAAAATTAAAAAACATTCAATACAAAAATAGAGATGTACAAATTTTCAAATTATATTAATATTTGAAATGAAATATTTCTTGGATTCATTAAAAAAAGTAAATGATCTGAAAATAAAATGGACCACTTTTAACCAGAAACTAAAATATATATATATGCGAAAAAGGCTTATATATATTCTCAAACTTTGATAACTCGTGTATCAAGTTGACCTGAACGCTCATTAGATGTAGAGATGACTCCCAAAGGACCTAACCGTGTCACTTTAGCATTAAGATCCTGTTCCCGCTTTGAATATCGACGCCTAATGGAGGCGTCGCGGCGCCGCATACTGTTTATTCAAATTACCCGACTGGCGACCCTTCTATATACACCGATCGAAAACTCCCAGACATTTTTTTTTATTTTTCTATAGTTCCAAAACTTACTTTATAAATCTCGTCATATAAAATTTGAATTCATTTTTTCTTTGATAAATAATTCGATCCTTTTTATTTTGGGGGAAAAAAGCAAGTTATTAGTTATTTAACTAAAATACGAAAAAATTCTATTTATAAATAAAAACCTAATTTTATTCTAAACAAATCAAAGGAATAATTAAAATTAAAGTAATGATTTTTTTTTCTCAAAAAATATAATAATTAAATAACAGTGAAGCATTATTAACTCTCAGACCGGGGATATATACTATTATACGTGTTTGTGTTTACCTTCTTATCTATCTTAGCCCTGATTTGATTCGGTTCTGAGAAATTAATAAGTTCAAAAATGTGGTTGAATGACCATAAACATAAATGTTTATATATCAATCACCCACGTTACGTAACTTTATACAAAAGAAAGAATGGCTATTGTCTAAATTTAAAGAGACATTATATTTTATAATTTAATTATTTGATACAATAGCCATTCTTTCTTTTGTATAAAGTTACGTAACGTGGGTGATTGATATATAAACATTTATGTTTATGGTCATTCAACCACATTTTTGAACTTATTAATTTCTCAGAACCGAATCAAATCAGGGCTAAGATAGATAAGAAGGTAAACACAAACACGTATAATAGTATATATCCCCGGTCTGAGAGTTAATAATGCTTCAACAGAGATGTATGCGCAAATAAATTATAAATATTAAACAAATGATATAATAATTACTGTTAAAATGAACTGCAAATAATAATTGCCGCACAAGACTCAAAACTAACGATCCGCGAAGATGAAAATTGAAAACTAATCATCTTCTTAGAAGTAAATGTTTATTTAATAACATATTTTTGCGTACATTTACGATATAATGGGAAATTTTTTTTTTTTTAATATCCATTTGCCTGTTATATATTGAAGGCTAAATGACGTTTTCATTCGTCATAGATAATATACCGAAAGTAAATTTTTCTTACATATTTAATGCGCGAGAAAATAAATTTTCAGTTTATTTTGAGACGTTGTTATAACAAAATACTCGGATTTTCTCTCTATATTTTAAACATTTAATTCTCAAATGAATGAACCATCTACAAGTAATCGCGATAATCAAGAAGAATCTTCTCATTTTCTTGTTATCGATGATGATTATAATGAAGAACAAAATCAAACATCAGTGGAAAATTGGATTCATAACTTGATAAGTAAAAGAAAAATATATTAATTTTGAAAATAAACCAAAAATTTTTGACTGAAATTTCTATTTTTGATATAATTATTTTTCAGTAAAAATTTTTAATAGTCGCCACAAAAAATACAAAATAATTAATAATTATATTATTTTTTTATACTATAACAGTTTTCTATAATATTAATTTTTTTTATAATCTTTACTATTAAGATATAAAAATCAGTGTTAAAAATTTAATTTTTAACAAGGTTTTTATTCATAATTATTAAATTAATTATATCATTATATCATATAGATAAGAATTAACAAGCGCTTCAAACTGATTTTTAAATATCGATATTTCATTTTTATATTCATTTAAACATTTTTTTCATCTTTTAATTTATAATTACAGAATAAATTTTTCCTTTTAAAAATAGAATAATAATACCATATATTAATTTTTAATTATCATATATATGTAATAATTTTTCCTAATTTTTGTTCGATTGTAAAAAAATATAATTATCTAATTTTCCCATTTATAATTAAATAAAATTTTATAATTCTTCCATCAGCGCTAAAAGTGGCGACTAAAGAAAACCTTTTACATTCTTATATAAACTCAGTCGATATATACTGAAACGAAGAGAAGAATTTTCACTGAAAAGGCAGTTATTTTCTTATCAACGCACATTATACCTACACTCGTAAAAAGTAAATTAAAGATTAATATCTAAATAATTAAATTCAATATAATTAAAAAATAAGTTAATTAACAATTTTATGTAATTATCTGACCTTTTTAAAATTCATGAAATTTTTTTTCACTAATACATTAACTCATTTATAAAGGGACAAGTCAATCACTAATAAAAATTATTTAAAATTCCTACTAATTCAAATTAGTTAGAATTGTTTCTAATTCAAATTAGATAAACTTTCTACTAATTAAAATTATTTAAAATTCCTACTAATTTAAATTAGTTAAAATTGTTGCTAACTCAAATATGTTCAAATTCCTACTAATTCAAATTAGTTTAAATTCCTACGAATTTAAATTAGTTAAAATTGTTTCTAATTCAAATTAGTTCAAATTTTTGTTAATTCAAATTAGGTAAAATTTCTACTTTTTTAAATTAGTTAAAATTGTTGATAATTTTCAAATTAGTTTACATTTTTGCTAATTCAAAATAGGTAAAATTTCTACTAATTCAAATTAGTTAAAATTATTGCTAATTCAAATTAGGTAAACTTACTACTAATGAAAAGTATTTAAAATTCCTACTAATTCAAATTAGTTAGAATTGTTTCTAATTCAAATTAGATAAACTTTCTACTAATTAAAATTATTTAAAATTCCTACTAATTAAAATTAGTTAAAATTATTGCTAATTCAATTTAGGTAAACTTTCTACTAGTGAAAAGTATTTAAAATTCCTACTAATTTAAATTAGTTAAAATTGTTGCTAACTCAAATATGTTCAAATTCCTACTAATTCAAATTAGTTTAAATTCCTACGAATTTAAATTAGTTAAAATTGTTTCTAATTCAAATTAGTTCAAATTTTTGTTAATTCAAATTAGGTAAAATTTCTACTTTTTTAAATTAGTTAAAATTGTTGATAATTTTCAAATTAGTTTACATTTTTGCTAATTCAAAATAGGTAAAATTTCTACTAATTCAAATTAGTTAAAATTATTGCTAATTCAAATTAGGTAAACTTACTACTAATGAAAAGTATTTAAAATTCCTACTAATTTAAATTAGTTAAAATTTTTGCTAACTCAAATTTGTTCAAATTCCTACTAATTCAAATTAGTTCAAATTTTACAAATTTCAAATTAGTTCAAATTTTTGTTAATTCAAATTAGGTAAAATTTCTACTTTTTTTAAATAAGTTAAAATTGTTGCTAATTTTCAAATTAGTTAAAATTGTTGCTAATTCAAATTAGTCCAAATTTCTACTAATTGAATTAGTTAAAATTCCTACTAATTCAAATTAGACAAAATTTCAATTAATTCAAATTAAGTAAAATTTCAATTAATTCAAATAATAAAATTCTACTAATTCAAATTTAGAGAGCGAATTGATAAAAAAAATAGTAGTGCCAATAAAAATCATCAGTGATATCAATATCGAAAACATAAAGAAAAAAAATATTTGGAAAAATTGGTGAAAAATTCAAAGAAAATAAAATCGTTATCTACACTCATATCCGAAAGGGACGATCTTGTTGATCGTTCGAGGATGAAATCAGCCCTTCTCGAATTGGGAATTGCGAAACCAATATGAATCCGGATAGAGAGAGAGAGGAAATATTTCTCTCTCTCTCTCTCTCTGAAACCGCACACATCGTATAGTCGGACCATTTTCCTGAACACCTGCGTCAGACCTCAAACTCATTCTAGCCACGATTCTGTTCCGAGCAAACGGGTGTAGCTCGCAACCAGAACGAGCTTTTCAAAGTTGCTCCTGACTCTTATGCGGAAACACCCGTTGCGGATCTCTTCAAAATTAAAGCTTAATATATACAAATTATTGCAATAATCTCAATTGTATTACGCCGCCTCGTCCTTCTAGATCAAATACGTAGTCACGTAGTACTGATTGTTCCGCCACAGTAATTTTAAAAACAAGAGTTTTTCGCGCCGCCTATAGGTGTCGTGCTTCGTGCTGCTTGCTGAACTGCCATTATGTTGTTCTGTGCGTTCCGCGCAACATCGCGTTAAAATAACGAAAACGATAATGTCATCTTCATCAGAGAAAAGTTCACCAAGAGACCGTCAGGAACATCGCCGCAAAAAGAGGAAGCATTCTTCATCGAAAGTATTTCGACAAAAAATGAAAAAACTCGAAAAAAAGATGAAAAAATTGAAGCGTTCTCATCGATATCGTGAAAGCAGTACGTCATCCTCGGCATCTACCTCCAGCTCAGCGTCAAACAGCAGTCGCAACACTGAAAAGGTAACTAGAAGCCCTTCCCGAAGTTTTTCCCGAAGCCTATCTCGAAGTCCTCGCAATGAACGTGGTCCGAGAGACACGTCAAATGTCAGAGGCGAAAGGAGTCTGAGTCGTGATCAACAAGACCGCGACCGTGAATTCAGACATTCCAGAAATATTAGTGAAAAGCGTCTCCCGCGAGGAACGCTACACAAGAAAACTGGAAATGGTGAGAACAATGAGCACGATCCGAGAGACGTGTCACGTTCTAAAAAAACTCGATCTAGGTCCATATCAAAAACACCTGAAAATGCGACAAAAAAGGTTAACCCAAGCGACGCCGGGGCTGAGTCGGTAACAAACGAAGACAGCTTTCTAAAATTGTTAGGAGAGGGCGCGCAAGAGGAAATTCAATTTAGTGCACCAATCCACAATTCAATTGCGGAAATGTGGTCAAAAATTTTGAAAGTCGGTTTGCCCAAGGAAAGCATTAAAGACCTAATTAAAAAATATCCTATCGCAGAAAATTGCCAAATGATGGGTGCGCCTCGATTAAATGCGGAAATAAAAACCGGAATGAGTACTACCGCACTGAAAAAAGATACATATCAAGTATTAGCTCAAAATAAACTCAGTGCTTCCATCAGTGCTCTCGGAAATGTACTTCATCAAATTTTAGATGCAAATAAAGGCGAGAAGGAACTAAATTCAGGTACTTTGGCCTTGATTTTTACTACTCTTTGCGACGCAGGTAAAATTATGACCGACTTGCAACACGACCTGTCAATAACTCGCAGGAGTTTTATAATACCTTCCTTCAGTCTAATACTAAAAAAGATTGCTGAAGAATCGAACGTCGACACATCGTTGTTCGGCGAAAATTTTGCAGAAAAATTAAAATCTGCCAAAGAAGTTGAAAAATCAACAAAAGAAATTTCGAAAAATCCAGCATCACAGACTTCAACAAGGGCCAGTCATCAGAACAGGGACAAGGCTGCCGGACATTCGTCATCTAAAAATTTAAACTGGAGGGGCCCCTCCAAAAAATCATACTCGAGCTTGAAGAGGGGGGGCCAGGGATATCGCAGCAGTCGGAGCCAGACATCGAGACGAGGGAAGAATTAGTGGTAAGTAAAACCGCAGGTCGCCTGCGATTTTTTAGTAAAGAGTGGGGGAAAGTGACAACCGACCGATCAATTCTTGAATGCGTTAAAGGTTACAAAATACCCTTTGACGACATACCCACTCAAACACAACGTCCATCAGAGCCTGAACTCTCGATTGAGGAAAATGCAAGGACAGCTCAGGCTATCCTTCAACTCCAAAAAATAAGTGCGGTGGCTCCTTGCAAGCCATGTAAGGGAGAATTTTTGTCATCACATTTTTTAAGAGAAAAATCTAGTGGCGAGGATCGCTTCATTCTTAATTTAAAAAAATTAAACAAGTTTATAACGACCTCCCACTTTAAAATCGAAGACATGAAAACTGCCTTACGGCTTATAAACCGAGGCTCCTTCATGGCTGTAATGGATTTGAAGGATGCTTATCTCATGGTCCCTATTACAAACGAACATCAAAAATTCCTCCGTTTCTCATTTCGAAATGTCGATTACGAATTTAAATGTTTGCCTTTTGGTCTTTGCACTGCACCGTTTGTGTTCACTAAACTCCTCAAACCGGTAGTGCAAAAACTAAGAAGCCAAGGTATCATTCTAGTCATATACTTAGACGACGTATTAATTATTGCTAAAACCGAAGCCGAATGCAGGCAAAATATTTTCATAGTTCGAACTTTGCTGGAATCACTTGGCTTTATAATCAGCGAAAGTAAAAGTCAGTTAATTCCATCACAAACTTGTATTTTTTTAGGACTGGTTATCGACAGTAAAAATTTTTGCTTAGAACTAACTGAAAAAAAACGGAAGTCTATCTCTCAGTTAGTTAACAGATTTGTAATAAACAAAGTTTGTAAAATACAGGAATTGGCACAATTGATTGGCGTTTTAGTTGCTGCGTGTCCCGCAGTTCAATACGGTTGGCTGTATACGAAGAGGTTAGAGCGTGAAAAATACTTAGCATTAGATAATTC